AATGCCAGCTCCTTGAGGGTAAGGACTGACTTTTGCCTCTTTTTGAATCTCTAGTACTTAGCACAGAGCCTGGCACACAGTAAGTGTTTAATAAATGTTGATCAACCTCCCAGGAGTATTGTAAAGACAGTACCTTGTGTTCCCATGGACCAGATGGTCTAAAAGACGAAGGTATTTGGTGTTTCCTCTAACTGGTCTCAGTTTCGGCAGCCCTGAGCCTTCTTCCTCTTGTTTGATTCACAGTCTCTCTTACAAACTAAGAATACCTACTTTTTAGAAGTCATCCTGCAAACCATTGTTTGAAATCAGTTTAAAATAATAATACGAATTGTTTCCCATTTCTTTAGGGCCTTAGGATTTACCAAGTGTTCTTATAATACCTCTATGAGGTAGGTAGGACAAGTATTGTAAATCCTAAATCACAGATGAGGAAAGTGAAATCGAAGAGGTGAGCTAAGTACTTGGCCCAGGGTCCATTAGTTACGTTTGAGCCTGGATTAGAGAGCACAATCTCTGACTCCTTCCACTATACCATATTATGCCTCTTACATGGCTTCCACAGGTGTCTCCAAAATGCTTGGGAAAATAACATGTGACTGCATATGGGCTCATGGCAGAGCATGTGTCCAGGAGCTGAGCAGACTAGGCAGGAACTCTGAAAAATGGATCCATCTTGGATAAATTATTCAACCTTAATTCATGTATTTTCATGAATTTTTATCACTCTGTTGTTACATGAATGTAACATTACATTATTAAAATGTATGTTTCTAACTAAGAGAGTCAGAAGATATGGGTTCAAATTCTGCCTAGTCCAGATGTATGAATTTAAGGGGGGAAGAAATATAGAAGGGTACTAATGTTGACTGGGGGGCCTGTTTCTGCTATTAATTCATTTTGCAACCTCAGGTAAGTCACGTCTCTCAGGTCCTCAGTTTACTCATCTATTAAATGAGAGGGCTTGAATAAAGTTCAGCCAATCAATTAGCATTTATTAAGTGCCTATGTGCCAGGTACTGAGGATAGAGATATAAAAGTAAGACAATCCTTTCTCTCAAGGAGCCAACATCGTAGTAGATGGAAGTTCTCTGTAAAAACTCTTGGCTCTATGTCTATGTCAGGCTTATGAGATTAGAAATTTCTCCAAGACAGGGTCCTGGGAGTCAGTGTTTTCTCTATCTCTACATAGGTCTGGTTCAACCCAGAGGTGTCTCCAACCGTAATTCCCGGCTGGCTTCTCAGAGATCCCGGCGATCATCGCTCAGGATAAACATCACCCCTCAAATGCCCAGACCTTCTGACCCAGAGATTCCACTGCTAGTCATATACCCCAAGGAGGTCAAAGACAGTAAGGAAGGGCTCATCTACTCAAAAATATGCAAAATAGCACTTTTGTGGTAGGAAAGAGCAAGAAACACTATAGGTGGCTATCAACTAGGGGAATGAATCCAGGAGTGGAGAACCTTCGGCCTCCAGGCCACATGGACTGAATCCAAACTTCACAGAGCAAATCCCCTTCATAAAAGGATTTTTCCTGTAAAACTTGGACTCAAAGGGCCGCACTTGAGGATCTAAACAGCCACATGTGACCTCAAGGCCGCAGGTTCCCCACCATGGCATAAGCTAATTATGGCACATGAATGCAAACAGAATATTACTGTACCATAAGAAATTGTGAATATGAAGAACTTGGAAATGCATAAGATCACATATAACTGTATGCAAAATGAAGAAAGTAGAAACAAGAAAACAATATACATAATGACTATAATAATGCTAATAGAAAGAACAACTATTAAAAAAAACACACCCCAAACCTGAATGCTATTTAAGTTTAATAGCCAAAGTTGGCATTTGAAAAGAGACATGAAAACATACTTTTCTCCCTACTTTGCAGAAGTGGGGGTTAGGGGTGTGGAAAATTGCATGTACTATCAGACTCTGTTGATATGGTGATTAGTTCCACTGAACTTTCCCCCCCCACTTTCTTTCTTTATTCTGTTACAAGGAATGGCAAGGAAAAAGGATATAACTGGAAATGGAGGTGATACATAAACAAAATATATTGATAAAACTTTCAACAAATTTAAAAGATAGATAAATGTTACCCATTCCCCAGTTATTGCTACTCTTACCTCCAGAAAACTGAGTGTTCAGGAAAGAAGAGTTCTTACCTATGACCTCTACTTCTTGGTTCGACATCCCCAAGGATGGTCACTCTCAGACCTGAAACTACTGGACTCCTCCTTTTTATTTGCATCCCCAGTGCCTGATCCTGATCTTGGCAAATTCCCCTCTATTATTCTAAGCTCTTCTTCCCCTTCTTCCAGTACGTCCCTCATGAGCCTGAGCTTTGGACTTTTCACTCCTTCTTTCCTGCTCTTCCACTTCATCTTGCTCTGGCTTTCCATGTTGACCTTACAAAAGAACAAGGCAGCATCTTCTAGCCTTAAATCTCTTCCTGCCTTGTCCTCTCAAGATCCCTCCCTTGTAAATCCCCAACCCTGGGTAACTCCCACCATCTGCCTTCTCCATTTCTGTTTCCAGGCTGCCACATTCTGCTAAAGGAAGTCATGAAATTGATTTGACCAGGTCCAGGCAAATTCATGTCATCTAATTTGAGCTGGGCCCTCACTGCTCCATTGCAATCCATCTCTGATTGACACCCCAGGACACTCACTCCAGCAGCTGTTCCAAACTATTTCCTCCTTCCTCAAGCTCCCAGCTGTACTCTCCTTCCCAAAGATACACATCATCCCCCAAATTATGCCTTTGATCCCATGCCTTCTCTTGACTCCAGGACCTCTCATTCCCAATTTCTCTGTTCTCTACTGGTTCCTTCCTTTCTGTCTACAAATACACTTAGGTTAAAAAACATTAATCCATAAAAAGTAGTATTACTACTGTGGGATGAGTAATAGATTTGGAGTCAAAGGCTCCAGGTTCTAATCCTACCTCTGACTCTTACCATAGGATCTAGGGAAAGTTACGTAACTTCCCTAGGCCTTAGTTTCCTCATCTGTAAAATGAGATTAGATGGCTAGATGGATAGATGGCCTCCAAGGTCCCAATATGTAAAAAACAATATTCACAGGATCCTGTCCTTCATACCACTACCTAAATCATCTTCATAATGAAGAGCTCTGACTGTTCAGTTTACCCCTCTGTTCAAAGACCTTCAGGATCTGTCTACTCCCCATGAGACAAAATAGTAAAATTATCAGCCTAGCATTTAAGTCCTTCTACACTGGATTCAACCTGCCTTTCCAGTCTTTGTTGTTGGGTTCATGACTCCGTTTGGGGTTTTCTTGGCAAAGATACTGGAGTGGTTTGCCATTTCCTTGTCTAGCTCATTTTACAGATGAAGAAACTGAGGCAAACAGGATTAAATGACTTGACTGGGGTCACACAGCTAATAAATGTCTGAGGCCATATTTGAACTCAGAAAGATAAGTGTTTTCGACTCCAGACCCCATACTCTATCCACTGGGCCACCTGGTTGCCCACTTTTCAGCCTTATTTCACATGAACTCTCACTTTTTCTATGGTCCCACCTAACACAGACTCATATTCTGCTTTCTCCCCAACAGAGAGTTCACTTCTTCCACAAGTCTAGCTACTGAAAGCTTTCTGTTCCTTCCAGCTTTCCCCAGCTCAGTTGTCACTTCCTCCAGGAAGCACTCTTTGATCCCACCCGTCCAGCTTTAGCCTTAAGTACTGCCTCTAGAGTCTGGACCAGGGGTGAGGAACCTGTAGCCTGGAGGCCACATGTGGCCCTGTAGGTCTTCAAGTGTGGCCCTTTGACTGGGTCCAAACTTCACAGAACACATCCTTTAATAAAAGGATGTGTTCTGTAAAGCTTGGATTCAGTCAAAAGGCTGTACCCAAGGACCTAGAAGGCCACACGTGGCCTCCAGGCTCCAGGTTCCCCACCCCTGGTGTAGACAAACCTAATAATTCTTTGCCCCTACACACTTGGAGTTTTTTGGCTTTGCACCCTTGTTCTAGATGTTTTCTGTGTCTAGAATGTCCTTTCTACCCTTCTTTGCCAACCGAATTCTTATGCATCCTTTAAAGCCCAATTAAAATACAACCTCTTTTAGGAAATCTTCCTTAATCTCCAGGGAAATAATGTTGGGCCTTTTTTTTTAACATAGCAATTTGTTTTACATCTTCCTAATGCACTGATCATGAGATATCTTACATAGAGCTACCTGTGTCTGAGTCTTAATTCCCCTAATAAACTGAAAGATCCAGGTTGGCAGGAACCCTTTCACCCGAACACTATCTAAACTCTAAAATTCTAGAGCAGGCCTTGCCCAGTGCTCTGCACACAGTAAGTGCTCAACACTTGCTTGTTATACCTGTTTAAAATACCTCTCTTGAAGCCTAGCACTGCGTCTTGAATTCCCCAGCACTTCTCTCTTAATAGCGCCCAGCTCTTCACGCACGCGAAGGTTTTTTCCTCCTTCCCCAAAGAAGGTGCTGCTGCTCCTGGGAGAGGTCAGGGCTCTTTCTACTCCTACAGTTGGGGCCAAGGGGGAGGCGCCGGACGACAGAAGTGCTCGGTTCATTCTCACCGCGAGTTGGGGTAGAGCCCGAGCCAGAACTCAGGCGTCTCACCTCCCCACTGCCCCTCAGGAGTCCATGGAACCTGTCCCTGAAGTGAGGGGGCTGACAGAGAGCACAGCTGGAAGACCTAGGTTCTAGTCTCGGTTCTATGTGTGCCCTTGGGTAAGTCAGTTTCCCATTTATAAAACTGCCCTCAGTTTACCCATTTATAAAATGCCCCACCAGACGACGGCCAAGATCCCGTCCAGCTCTAAGATACCCTGGCTGACAGGGTCTAGACCCCGGCCCCAGGGCAGCCACGGGACACTAGACGTTCTCTCCTGCCCCCAGCAATCACCTCGCTGCTGGAAGCCCGCTTCCCACTCCCCCCAACCCCTCCTCCCCCAGCGAGGAAGCTCCTGGTCCTCCCTGGGCCAAGCCGGACTCACCTCCGTCAGGAGCCGCTCCAGGTGGGGCTCGGCCCAGGAGATGAGCGCGCCGGGCGCCTCGGGGGGCCCCCAGCCGGCAAGCCGCTGCCGCTGCTGCTCCTCTTCGAGCGCGGACACCCTGCCCTGCAGTTCGGACGCCTGGGCGCTCAGCAGCAGGCAAGCAGCCACCGAGCCCAAGGACAGAAGTAGGCAGAGCGCGCTCAGCGCCAGCGCCGCTGCGCCACCACCCCACGCGGGACACGCGGGAGTCCCCGCGGGGCTGCCTCTCCGGGCGCCCGGCTCCCACGCGCCCATCGAGCTGCGGGGACGGAGGGGATGGGAGTCCGCGGCGGGCACTGGCGGGCAGGCGGGAGGGCGCGGGACAGTCACTTAGTGTAGGCTCTGCTCCGGTGGGGCTCGCTGAGGGGGCACCCTAGGCGATGGAGATGGGACTGGGGGCTGAGGGTCAGCCTTGGAGCATTCCCCAAGTGCCCAGGTTTTGTGCTCTCACTGCTCGAACCTCCGGGAGCCGAGGAAGGAGCTGGGGCCCATCCGCTGTCGGTGTGGAGAGTCACTAGGCTTTACTAGGGGACTCGCTACGCCCTCCTACCCAACTACTTAGCGGCCACTTTCCGCAGTTTCCTCTATGCAAATAAATCCTGCCCGAAAAGGAGCCCGGAACCACCCAGGGGAGGGGCGGCCGGGGCCGGGCCGCTGCGGGAAGGCTGGGCTGGCTCAGAGTGCGCTACCCCCAATTTGCTCCCCTCTGCTCCCTTCCCTTCTGTTTCTCTCCCCCCCCCCCCGCCCTCCCCCGCCTGGGTGTCTGGACCCGAAAGCTAAGAGCGTGAGGACTTCGGCTTCTGAGCTAGAGGAAAAGGCTTGGGGACTACCCTGGGCTTCGGTAACTGCGAAAATACCGGGTAGATAAGCAGTGAGTCCCCCCCCCGCCAACCTCGAACCCCGTAGAAGAAACTGCGGGTGTGTTCAGCCCATTACAGACACGAGTGTAAAGTCAAATCAGGTCTATCATTCACCGGGCTCCTCCTCCGCCTCTCTTCAAGTTGGCTGGTTGAACTTTCTTTGCAGATGCAAAATTGTTTGCAATCACCTTCCTCCCTCAAACTCTGTTCGAAATACAGTGGATAGAGGGCTGTAGCGCCCCCTTGTGCTGATGGAAATGTGACTCAATATAAGACCAAAAGCCAGAACGCTTTTCGGTAAGGTCTTATATAGCTCTTTGTCTTTACAAAGCAGCTTGAGAACATTATCATATTTGGTCCTCGCAACGATCCTCATGAAGCAGGTACTGCAAAGTGTCACAGTTTTTTACACGTGAGGAAAAAGAATCAAAGATTCTAAATGACTGGTTACAGAATTCCTGAGTGATTGAACTTGTCCCTCCTGCCTGAATCACACCACATGGGTAGCTAGTTAACTACAGCTCTTTTGTGTAAGAATGTACCCCTCAAATCAAGACCCAGTTTTTTATTATGCAACTGATAATAATCTAATCTTTAAATATACCCAATATGTAATGTTGCAATAAATATTCTAAGATTTCAGAGCTGGAAGGTACCTTGAGATCATCTGTTCAACCTACTCATTTTACAGAATTGAGGCCCAGAGAGGGGAAGTGATTTACCATGACTTACCAAAGGTCAGGTTGACTGGATTAAGTACCTAGGTCTCCTGACTTCCTGCATTCCTTCCATTTGGTTCCAAATTTCTAAAATTGTTAACTTAAAATTATTCCAAATTTAATCTCTTTCATGTAACTCAGAGACCAGCCAACTTGAATTATCGAGTTACCTGCATGTTTAATAAACACATACTTGACTGACATTTATATAATACTTTAAGCTATGAAATATGTAGTACAAGCATTATTTAACAATTCAGAATACCAAAGCTTAAAGATTAAAGCAGTGATTTGCCCTAGGTTACAAAAGCTAGGTGGCACATCGGATACAGCCCCAGGCCTGGAGTCAAGAAGACTCATTTCCATGAGTTCAACTCCGGCCTCAAACACTTACTAGCTGTGTGACCCTGGGCAAGTAACTTAACCCTGATGGTTTCAGTTTCTTCATCTGTAAAGTGACCTGGAGAAGGAAATGGCAAACCACTCCAGTATCTCTACAAGAAAACCCTAAATGGGGTCATGAAAAGTCAGATACAACCAAACAACAACAAATGTAGGGAGGATGTTTATTTTAGAAATGGGTTTCCAGAAGGCACAATGGAAGAAGAGGACAGAACAGGATAGAGACTTGGAATAAGTAGAGCTGTAGTGAACTGGGATGAGAGAGAGGAGATACCCGGGGAAGGGAATCTAAGTAATCAGGACGCATGGGAATGAGGGCTTTAGGGACTTTACTAGAACAAGGAAGTATTTTTTGACTGGGGCTTTCACTCTTCAATCTGGTGATGATGTTTATTTGCTCTCAAACAGCAAGAAAGGGACAATGGGCAAGGCACCTAGATCAAGAAATACCAAGAATCCCCATCAGCCTTGCTGAATTGAGTTCACTAGTTCCTTTGCCTCATTCCAAGATGAAATACTGCAGTCAGAACATCCTGCACGTGGGACCCACACTTGGTTTCTAATCTTGCCTAGCATGAGACTCTATTTCTTAAGGAGGTCATTATCAGTAAGAAGCCTAGTGCCTGGGTCCTACACTTGGGTTTCTTGTATGATTCAGTGAAGCAGAGCAAAGCAGGTAGGAACTGTACGTAGTGACAGTCCTTGGGCTGCCACATCCAGTCCTGGGAAAGTGGTGAGAAAGAGCTGCAACCTTGTGTTAGGGTCTTAGGGCAGAGTAGCCACAGCCTGAGGAAAATCAGTTCTCCATAAGGGAGCCTCCAAAGCCGGGACTGGATCCCTCAGTTTCACCCATCAAGCAACTGAACCAGATTTCTGCAGGCAATATTTACTTTGTAGAGGTTTGTTTAATGGTAGAAAATAAACTTTCTTGGTACCAAAATTTCTTTTATTTGGAAAATGACTATGAGGCTCCGAGTGGTATGGTTGTGAGGTGCACAAAATTGCATTTTAACAGTTGGGGACCAAGACAGACATATGAAGGTGGCTTCATGTAGTTCAAGGGAAAAAAAGGGAGATTAACTGGGGTTATCTATAGTAGTTAAGAAAGAGTTCATGAAGGAGATATTTAATGTTGAAATGACTCAGCTAAGAGAGAAATCTAGGTGGGCTCCACATAGATGGGTATGGCCTATTTAGGTCATCAAGAAGGGGTAGTAAATCAGGCTAGCTGTACACACAGCCTTGAAAACCAGGCAATGGTAGTTAGGATACAACCGTCTCACACGTGAAGCTAGTCAGGGTTCATAGAACATGCTCTCTAGTGTATCAAGTTAGAAAGAAAAAAAGTAATCAGCAGTAAAATCAGATCTCCTTCAGCATTCCTTAATGTTGTTCATTTTCTGCCTTCACTAAATAGGCTAAGCAGTTAAATCAAGATGACTAAAACCCAAAGATAAAGTTTCATTTAAGCAGCAAAAAGAAACGATGGGGCGCAAGGCTATTTTATCCTATAAAAACTCTTCCATTAACTGAAATACTCTTCAAAGTACTAGAGAACCATTTGTCTAGACTATTTCATACCTAAACCGGCTGTCTAATTTCATTATATCTTATTCACAAGCCTATTAGGTATCTTCTCGATTTTGCAGTTGTTTTCTCAGGGTTGTCCAACTTCATGATAGTAAATACTCAAATAGGGCCTCAGTATTTACAGGAAGGACAGGAAGGTAATCCTGTAGAATTTGAGGTGCCTCTGCCATATCAAACTCTCGCCCATCCTCCCTTTGCTGAAAATGACCCTTTGATACAGGAAGGAATAAAAACCATATCTTGGTGGCCTGAGGGAAAATTTCAAGAAGACATTTTGCTCACGGCATTACTGGGGAAGGGGATGGAAGGAGAACAGCCACACAGCAAACACTGAGATGGGACCTACCAGTTAGGTAACTACGTCAGCTCAGGAGAACTATTCATAATTGCAGACCCTGGTGCCTAAAGGACAATGGCTGTTATATTACAAATCAAAACACCTGAAAGATTCTAGTTTTCACTTTTAAGACCTGAGCAACAATTTTAAAATACCTTAATGCTTACAAATGTAAAAACCATTTATCCAAAAACATGTAAGGAAAATGTATTTTCCCATTTCCTCATATTATAATCACCACCGAACATTTTTATAGGATCCATCTATAATCCTTTGCATAAATGTTGTGGATTTCTTTTAAGGCTTTCACTAAATGGCATGGAAAATTTTAATACCGACAAAAAATTTCTTTCAGTCTTTTTAAGAGAAAGTATTGTTTTGTTTCTATTGACTTGATAGTTTTAACTATCATATCCTATGATCTCTCCCATACTCAATTATGGGATAGGAGAAAAGCAATAAAACATTATATATTCCATATGCTAAGAACTCTAATACTAAATTGTAATATAGATTCAATAGCAAATTATCAAGCCACAGTCAATGAGTAATTCTGCAACCACAAGGCAACAATACATTCAGGTTTACAAAGCATTGTCAATACATTTTCATAAAAAAACCTAGGCTGCCATTCCATATTCATGTTATCTTATTCAGGTTCATCTTCAAGTACTTGATTTTAAAAATTCTGTTACTGGTTGTTAATAACTGTACTTCAGCCTATAGGTCTTCTAATCACGGCTCATTGTGGAAACTTAGCCTTCAAATCATCTACTTGTGGATATATGTAATGTTTTCAGAGCTGAGACCAAGATCCCCAATGATTCTTCTCACATGATCATGAGGATTTTTCTTTTGACACTCAGTCCCAGCAGTCTTACTCAATTTTCTCTATACATCTCTACTGCTCCAACTGAAAATGTCTAAATTAGTATTAACTTTTTTTTTTAAAGAAAATTTGGAAACTTTCTTGAGAACAGAGCTACATACCTCCCTACCTCAAAGTTACTAAGGTTTGCAATAAGAAGTTAAACCAGCTACCCTGAACAAGATACTTGGCAGGCAAAGCTAACAAGTCTACTGATAGGACTGATGACTGTTCATGAAAAAAAGAAAATTTTTTGTTTGGGAAAAAAAGAAAATAACAATTGGCATGTTTTGTTAAAAAGGCAGGGAAGTCGAGCTTATCTATGCTCAGAACCAGGAAGGAAAAAAAAGACCTGAACAGCCAAAATAATCCTTACAGTTTACTAAATCCCACACAAAATGCCTTTCAGTCTACTTGCTCTTCCCTTAAACGTGTTGTTTTCCTGTCTACAGCAAATTGGAAACAGCTAATTGGAGCCACGGGAGAGAGAGATCAGATTTGGGAGTAATGGTGTGGTGGTTAGAGGTAGACAGAGCAAAAAGTGACATGTGACAATAAAGAGCCAAAAAATTACAGAAAGCAAACATCAAAACAGATTATCAGTCTACAGAGAAATACTAAGGGAGTGTCCTCCTCTCTGCCATACAAGCAAGCATAAGAGAAAAATGGGTAATAACAGTATGTCGAATATTTTTATAGGCTAACTCTTACCATTATTCCTTAAAACCCTTCTGATTCATTTTACTACTTATGAAAAAGATGACTCCACTCTGCCAAATACAAATCCCAAAGTTTAAAAGTACCCACGTAAAGTTAAGAAAACCTCAAATCTCATATTTGTAAATGGTAAAATTCTTAATTAAATGGACCTGAAAAAATTCAAGCAAAACCCCAACATCTACATATGGTCTTTAATCCAACTCAATGTACTTAAATATTACTCCACACAAGTGCTGTTAATTACATCTGAAATAACTAGGCCCACAGGGCTTCAGCTTCAGTGTTCGAAGTTTTGTGGGTTTAAACTTAGACCATGATTCTTAAGCCTAGTTTTCAGCCCTTTAATTATCTATGATTTTTTCCATAATTGCAACATTTAAAACCAAACAAAAAACCCAGGAAAGGGAATGAATGTTAGGAAAACAAATAAAAATATCTATGCACATTATTTTGACTGTCAAAACTGAACAAATTTCTACAGAAAATTCATGTCTCTTTCCCAACATCAATGACGTTACAAGAAAGAGCCCTATTTTGAATTTACATTTAAAAAATTCAGTTCTCAATAATTTCATATACTATACTAACAAAAGAATGTTTAATGTCATTTCCTAAAGAATTGAATGTTGTAGATGAGTAATCAAATTTACTTCTATTGGTGTGCAAATGTATCATGCACTGAGAGAAAATAAAAACAAAAGGGTGAAACAGCAAATGAGGAATTGCTTTAAAAATTTTAAGACCATTTTAAAAAAGAAGTGACTCAAATTACTATCTATATATTATTCAGGTTTCCTGACTTCTGGCTCAGATCACTTTTGAACTGTTACCTACTATAAAAATAGACTAAAAACACATTAATACAAAGGCTGCGAAATCCTAGTATCAACTTTTTGGTTAAAATCATCTATGTCCTCTTATAATTAAATGAAAAAAGTTCAATTACAGCTTGAGCACTTAAGCACATCTGCCTGCAAGTTAACAGTAGAACAATGATCAGCATGCCAAAAATTTTTCCCTCACCCCAGAACTCAGTAGAGACAAATTATAGGTCCCAGTACTCCTACTGAACCATTGCTGGATATTCATATGGCAGCTTTACTAGTCTAGAAAGCACCCTCCCTATAACTACCAGGTGAAACAGATGTTACAAATATTATCCCAAATAAAAGTATTATTTAGATGAGGAAAAGGAAGCTCCCAGAGAGTATACGCTTTCCCCAAGTCATAAAACTAATAAATGGCAGAACATGGACTTAAACCCACGTTTCCAGACTCCCACTTCCAGTACTCTTTCTCCTTCACCATACTACCCTGGCATACCCAAGTAAATGTAGTCAATTTTCAATTAGCTATTCTAACATAGGGGTGGGTGTTTCAACTTCAGTTTCATATTTGACAGTTTCTTCAATAACTCTGGAGAAGTTTAATTGTTGCTAGCTTTGGTATACTTCCAGGAAATAATTATAACTTAAGTTTGTGTTTTCAGTCTGCATCCTGAAACAAAAAGACAGCTAATATTGTTTCCTATGGAGAAATTCTGCTATTTTTAATAGATTTAAATAAAATCTGGTTTATGGATAGATGTTTTTAAGTCTGTATTTTACAGAATTTCTGTTCCAGGAGTTAGGATGGCAATGAAATCCAAATAGTACAGCCTGCTTACTCTAGCCAATAATTTTATTATTCACTGCCCCTCCCTGGCACACACAGTAAAAATTTTCCTATAACTGTTAAGAGAGAATAAAAACTAATTGCTTAGTTTCAAAAACTGAGATAGGCAGAAAAAAGTAAAGAGCTTTGATTAATAGTTAAAATTTTTTTTTGTTTGAGATATTTTTATAGAACAGCCAAATTCTGTTTGACACTTTGGTGCAATTTATAGAAGCAGTAAGCTTCTCTACATCAAAAAAAAAAGGTGATTAGGTTTTAAGAAACAGAGTTGCAATACTGGAAAATTAAATAATCCAGATTTTACTATTTACCATTCTAAAAAACTTCTTGTAGTATACATCTAAAGTTTATTGGAAATATATAAGCAGGTATGAAAAAAATTCAGTTTTAACAACAACGTAGAACTTCCAAAATTTGGCAAAGCTATTTGAGTATAAGTTGTGAGAAAAAAAAAAACCCAAAACAAAAAAAACTCTTGTTTCTAAAATCATAATCAGTTATGAAATTTTTTATGAATGCTATAATGAAATAAACCCCTATCTGGTAACTGGAAAATTTTTAATAGAATACATCTGATCAACTAAGGATATTCAATTGATTAAGACTTTAGTGTCCCTTAAACATATTCAAATTTTATTTTTAACAAGATTATCTACCAATCACTTGAGCTCTGAATTTTACTGGGATGCCTTAGTATCTTATTAAACAAGTTTTCTAATTAAGCCTTTTACTTCTCAGAAATTTTTAGTATACCCTATTAAATAATATTAGCTGCTTAATACCCTGGGTTAACAATATGTTCTTGAGGTATTTATGGTCTTCCATTTTACAGACATGAAGACAGAAACAAGTAAAGTATCTACCAGTTAAAAACTACAAAGAAATTAGTACTATTTCCTAACCTGGGTACCAGAGTTCCCATCTCCATGCATTATATCTTACACACCATAATTTCTAATGGAAATCCTGTCCCTGTTGGCACAAGTATGTTTCAATGTTTTAATCATTAAGATTTCTTCTGGAAGCCCAACTGAAAAGTGCTGAAATTATTTACCTTTTCTTTCACCTCCATTTTTGTACCATAATAAGGGGGTAATTAATAAATTACCATGGCGTGCGTGCATACACACACACACACACACACACACACACACTCACTCTCCCTTTAAAATGAATACTGAACAAAATAGAAGCCTTTCCTACTGCCTGCAGAATTTCACTATGGCCAATGTCACTAGATTAAAAAAATTACAATTTAATAAAATGTCAATTGTAAACATGTCCTAGCCATATAAGGGAAAATATTCCCTAAGAATTAGAAACCATTGGCATTTTAAATTGCAAAAATCTGCTCAGCTACATCAAAGCAATACTTATCTGCTTAACAATTATAGGAAGTTTTTAAAGGTTTAAAAAAAAAGTTCACATTCCAAGTTTTTGATAAAGAATATTCATTTTAAAAATAAAGTAGTCAAGGTCACCCTTTGCTCATAAAGATCACTTGAAAGAGTCAACCTCTATTTACAAAGAAAACTTAGATCAACATTTACACTGGACAAATGTTACCATGCCAAAGACTCTAAAAATGGTAACTAATTTTTTAAAAAATGAAAATTAACTTTAATTTTTCACATTAACATTTCATTATCAAGACCATACTTGCTTAACAAGATACATATGGCATTGATACAAAATATACAGTATTTACATCCTTAAACTGTACAAAATAATTTAATGTTTATAAAAATATTAGAATGTTTAGCTGACTGACACAGTCTTATGTAATCTCCTCTAGAGAAGTTATATAGTAAGACCACTGATTGTACATTTCATTTCTTTTTTAATAAGTCAAAGAAAGGATGTTGTAATGCTTCATCCAAGGTAATTCTTTTTAGCTGGATCATACTCTAACATCCTTCGAACTAGGTCAAACAGATTCTCGTGCTCCGCATCATGACAAAGCATGAATTCCTGAAAGAAAAAAAATAAGTATTTAAGAAAGGGATGAGCTTAAGAATTCAAATACTGAAAACTGTATCTCTATCTTACCTTTAATGGTTTGCAACGTCTCCTAACATATCTACCAGCAGAACTATGTTCATCCCAATCCAACTGATTGTGGTGAAAATATTTGCGTTTTCTAAAAGAAAAATGCAATTTACCAAATGTAATTTATGGATCATAAAAAAAATTATCATTAAACATTCTGACAGCTATATAAGAAAATACCTTTATAAAAAGCTCACTCCGGTTACAAAAAACATTTTCAGTTCACTACACCTTAGCACTATAAGTAAACCTAATTTTAAGTTTTAACTTCAGTAGTATGGATATGAATACACATACACCAATACACATATCACTCTCCCAGATGCAGTTGCAATCCATCACTAGTATAAGAAATCAAGTGCCTGCAATCCTTGAACCAAAGATGTTAGGTCTAGACCATTAAGTGTCAACTGTATGGAAGATTCAGCACTGTAGTTCCACAACAGCCATCCCTGTGACTCTGAACATTTAAGTATTACTACCTACCCTTTCTTTCAAGTCAAAGAAGAATAACAAGGTATACCTGCTACTCACTAAGACTATAATACCTGCACCCTTGATCCTATTTCCTCTTTAGCATAAGACCTTACTTTAAGAATCACTGAACACCACAATCACTCCCTGACCCACCATGGATCTTTAATCTACCAAGGTTCATTCCTATTAGCTTGCAAATATACTTAAGTCTCTCAAATTCTAAAATATCATTCTTCATCTTTTTTGCTACCTATACCATCTCTCCCTTTCCCTACACCTGATGCCTCCTACTTCCCTATTACCCACTCATTCAAACCACAGAAGTCTAGTTTTTGCTTCCATCACTCTACTGAACTTTTCTCAAAGAGCATTCTTAGTCATTAAATCATAGGATAACAGTTGGAAAGAACTTTTGGAGGATGAAGAACTGAAGCTAAAAGAAGTGAATTCCAACAGCCTCTCCCCCCCCACCCCGGCCCTCATCTTCCATAACACCTCTGCAGCATTTTCCCCCAATTTTAGTTTCAATTCCAAATTCTCTCTCTCACTCCCCCACTTATTGAGAAGACAATAAAAACAAAGCACACTGTAAATACGTATAGTCATATAAAATAAATTCCCACATTAGCTATGGTCTCAGTACTCCCCTCCCCTTGCAAAAGAACACATGCTTCAATCTGAACCCTGGTCCATTAGCTCTCTATCTAGGGTTGGGTAGTATGTTTCATCATGAGTCCTTTGGAATTATAGTTGGTCATCATGTTGATCAGGGTTGCTAAGTCTTTCAGAATTGATTGTCCTTATAATACATTAATATTATATAAACTGTTCTCCTGGTTCTGTTTCTTCATTCCAACTCTGTTGCATTTAACACTGTTGATCATTTAACATTCTTCTCTCTTTGCATGTGCTCTCCTCTCTTGGCTTCAGATACCACTTTTCCCTGGTTCTCCTAACCACTCTTGTCTCATCTTCTTCTTCTTCCCCTCAATTAAAATGAACACTCTTGGCCCTCTTTTCTATATATATATTTTCTTCCTAGGAAATTTTACCCACTGCCCTAAATTCAATCTCTATGTAGGTAACTCCCAACTGTAGACCCTCAGTCCTGACTTCTCAGCTCCAGAACCAAGTATCTTCCCATAGGACGTGTCATCTACCTATCCACAAGCACCTTAAACTAAGCGAGGCTGAAAGGTAAGGTGGGACCCTAATGGAGAACCTTAAATATCTAGCAAAGGAGTTTGAACTTTACTGTGTAGACAATGAGGATTTTCTGAGCAGGAATGACATAAAAGTTGCATGGGGAAGTTTGGTCTGGCAACGGTATAGTGGGAGATATGAAGACCAGTTAGAAAGTTATTCCAACAGTCCAGGTGGGAATAATGAGAACTGCTAATAAAGTAAAGGCTCTGTATGTATTAAAGACATTTTCTCAATAATCTAAGTCAAAGGCCACCCTCCTCCATGCCATCTTTCTTCATCACTACTCCGTTAGCAGTAACTTTCCCCATTTCCGATCTTATGTAAGCAAGCACTTTCTTTTGCACCTCTCTAATGTATAACTGGTATTTGTTTGAGCATTATATTCCCCCAAATTTGAATCTGAGATAGGGACTAGGTCTTTAAACTTTTATCTTCCCCAACACTCAGCACAGTGTTTGGCACACAGTAGGCAATTTAAAATGTTTAAGTGAATTTAACATACCCATCTTTTGTGTGCATCTGCACTATTTTGTAACTGATAATAGCTTTCTTGCCCTACAGCCCAATTTACACAGAAAAAAATCATCTCCTTTCTGGCTGCTCAATTTCCCCTCTCTGGTGGCTATCTTCACTCTTTTCCACAGCTATTTCTCCAACTTCCAGCCTTAGCCTCTTGCTTTTACAATCACACAACTCTATCCAAGAAACAAAAATAGTCAACGGTTAGGTTTTTGCACATATATTTTTCCTCAATTCACTGTTTCAGTCAGATTAAAACACAAGGGGATGTGTTGTGTACCATTATGCAAATAGAAATTTTCAGAATACAGCTGTGAAAATGAGCCTGCTGCTTACCACAAACTTACTGGGGTATGGGTTTGACCATCAATTAGCAAAATAAGTTATATCAAAATCCAAGTTATTTGTGAGGTCTACGAGACATAGCATAAAAATCCAAAAATGTTCATCAATCTACATCATCATTTAAAATACTCCACAAAAGAAACAGGCCTGAGTCTTCTAACTCTCTAGACTAATTACTTCTCTGCAGGAGCCTAAAGTACTTAAGGAAAGCACACTCCTCACACTACAGCTAAAGAAAATAAAGAAAGATCTCTTGAGAATTTGGAACCAAACACCAGCCTGAGCTACTTTTAAACTAATACCTCTAGTGGTCAAGAAACTTAATTGCTAAAGGTACTCAGGCTCTATTTCTAAGTAAAAGTCTTATTGCACCAATATTCTATTATATAAGTAAATAACCATGGGAGCACAAAAGTCTATGATAGCATAACATATGCTCTAACAGGTCCTACATCAAGACGGAGAGGTTTTCAGACAGGTCAGGCAACAAACCATACATCTCATAGCCTCACTAGAGTGAAACATCACCAGGCTGGCCCAGGGTAACTGACTAATTTTTGGTCACAGCAATTTTCAAAGAGTCTACCACTGGAACAAGGTCCTATTGCCAGTACCAAAGCTCATCAGGGATAAAGAAACAAAGCAAAGTATTTCTACCTGGGACCATTACTTTCTTTGGAATGGAGCAGAGCCTGCTTTAAGTCAAATGGGCCTGCCATTTCCCACAGATGACCTTCTATCTCCAACTCCTGTGCCTCTGCAGGCACACTAGTCCCCTCACCCCTCTCCAACACTTGGCACTATAGACCATATTAAAAAGGGCCCTCAATTTGACACTGAATCCTACTCACCTTGTTTTCTGGATCATGTGTGTTGGTATAGGTCCTAATATCCGTTCCATCATTGCTAAGTGTTCTTTACTATCATGTGTCTATAAAAAGGAAAGCCAAAAATAAAAAATCAAAATTATCATAAATTTACGGAATGTTCTGAAAACATCAGATATTAGATAACGGGCTGAGTTAGCTGCAAACCAAAAATTCAAAACTGTACACAGTTCTTTTCTATGAGCCACACTGTTTGGCCCATACCAGCCCCTACCCCCAAAAAGGGTCTTAACTCTCTTTTATGATTTAGTAACTCTGAAGTAGAGAATTGAGGCCCAGGAGCAATAGAAGGTACAGATTAAAAAAATAAAAAGGAACAAGTTTAACGTAGATACTGAAATTACCTAGAAATCATTTATCAACCTATAGCCTAAACTGAAAATAAATCTCTACAGGATTTCTTCATTACAATCCTTGTATACTCCTCTTAAACTCCACAACTTAACCACAACCCTTGAAAAACAACTTAACAGTCATGTGCTTAAAATGATTTTGCTTAATCCTGGCTCCTGACAACTTGAAAACCATGGCTACTATCTTTCTTAAAATTGATTTAAGATGCAATAACTGTTAAAACTTATGTAGTTCTATAAATTGTCCATGGAATCAGCTAGCCCTCAACAATGAAGATATTAACACCAATTACATTGTCACAAGTTAAAAACCATTCACAGCATAATTCTACTTTTCAGAATTTCTAGAATCAGAGATGGTATGCAGATAACCATCTCTAATCACCCAGAATGCAAGCCGCCTGGCTTGGCTCAGGCCCTCATCAATGCTTGCCTGAACTATTAGTGCAATACCTTTCTGATTGGTCTGCCTGCCTTCAGTTTTGCCCCTCTCCAATCTATCCACGATGCAGCTATCAGACCAATATTCCCAAAACCAGGTCTGATCGCGACACTTCCCTGGCTCAAGAAACATAGTTCTTTCATGCCTCAAGGATAAAATACAACCTCTTCTGATTAGCATTTAAAACCCCTAACAATCTGGCTCCGGCCTAACTTTACAGGCTGACTACATATTACTTCCCCCCCTCCACATTCTTCTGTTCACTCAAACTGGCTTATTTGTTCTTCACACAGGACATTCCATCATCTCCTGTCTCTGTTTTTACATGGACTACCGTGTCTAAAGAATCCTCTCCTCCAAAACTCTAGTTCCTCACTGCCTCTCCCTTCAAGGGTCATCTCACGTGCCTTTTCAAGAGGCCTTTTCTAATTTCCCCAAGGTTGTTACTCTTGTCTCCTGCATCATGCCAATCATTTTAACTTTTTACACATCCTTTATTTATGTACTCATCTGTGAACATTTTGTATTTTGTACAGTAGAATGTAAGCTGCTTGAAGACAGGGATTTCCATCTTACTTTTGTAGTTTTATTCCAAACAGTAAAAAGTGCTTAATGAATATTTGTTGATTGCTGATATCACAGCTAAAAGAGTTTTGGTTGGTAAGTCAATATTGCACATAACATATATGGATACAATGTAGGACGATCCAATTATTCTGCTAATCCAATAAAGGATCGTGCTCGCGCGCGCGTGTGTGTGTAATTATTATATATGTAAAACATTAACATTTAAATATTACATATCATACATATATACAACTTTTTTTTTTACTAATAGCATGGTCATATGCTAAATCAAATGTTTATGAAGTTACCTGGTTCAAGAATTATTTCAGAAGTTAGGATTAAAACAAAATTCAGACCAGATTTATAATCCAAGCTAATAATCTTCATTGTACAGAATACATCAAAGCTCACTTTATAATCACTAAACCTAAAATTTTCATACAGGAACCATATACTGGGAGTAAAACAAAATTAAAATAGAAGCAGGCATCTTATTCAAACTTCAACTACTAAATCTAAATATTACGAATCTTTTAATTCTTTGCCTGTCAACACAACACCTAAAATCATGGGTACTACACTTCATTTATATATTCATCCTTCCAAAATTTCTAAAACTGGTTTAAAAAAGAACCATGACTAAATAGATTCAGCTTTGAATATACTTTCACCTTGAACCATTTTCCTCCTACACCCTCAAAAAACTCTTACCAATATTCTGGTACATGGCACCTATGAAGAAGCAAGTTGGAGGAAGACCAATATCCAGTAAGTACTCATATATTAGCTACTAACAATAACACTTTAACTGAGGTTAAGTAACTTGTTCAAGGCTAGTCTGATGGTCACACATAGTTAAGAATAGACTCAAGCCTAACATTCTAACCAGGTTAAAGTCTATATAAATTCAGAAGATTTTTTTTTAACTGAAAGCATAAGTAAATTAATTTTTCAACTTTAAACATGACACATAATTGTGCAACTATTGTGTTATGAGAAGTAGATAGTGACCATTTTATGTGTATAAAAATAAAAAAGGCAATTTGGTCAGCTCTGGAGTTAGGGTTTGAGCATTACTGCTGATACAGACTACCATGTGGTTATGGGCAAGTCATTTAACTTCTCCATTACCTATATAACTAAGATATAAAATACTGACCAGCTGCCAATTTGCATTGGTAGACAAAAGTTCCCTTTCTGAAAGAAACCACAGGTCTTCCCTCTGCCCAAAGGATCAAGCAAAAAACTATATGAAATTGCTATTAATCCAATATGTAATACTTTAATTTCATGTACTTGCCCCATAGGTGTGTTGTGGGATGAAACGAATGTGTACAAAGAGTGCTTTGCAAACCACAAAGTGCTTTAAAATGTCAGTTCTGACTTTTACCTTTTTGTCATCATATTTATTTAATAAATTATATTCTCTGTATTGGATACTTACCTGAAATACTGTGAAACCAAGATAATATTCAATAAGAATGCAGCCTATGCTCCAAACATCACAGGGCTGAGACCATCCCAGTGCTGGTGTAAGAAAGAAAAAGTTACTTTATCTTTTAAACATTTTTTCAAAACCAACATTTACTATTCAGGTTCATCTGCTGCATAATTAAATGTATACATGTGTGAACATATGTATAGATTCATTAATGATTAGCAATGTCAGTGACAATTCCAATACGATAACCACAACCTAGATTTCCCGAATCTATACTTTTGATAGGATAATGAAATTTAGCTAACTACAACTTATTTTGATCCTTAAAGAGAAGCTGCTTCTTTTAAAAATAAAGATTTTAAAGACAAATTAAAATGACTAACAACAACATGAATATGTTTATGAAGAAAAAGACTCTATGATTATAGAACTTAGAAGACATGGCTTAGTAAGATCAAAATTTCAGAGCTAGAAAGGACCTTAAGACTTCATTTAGTTCAAACTTTCTCATTTTACAGAGGATGAAACATGCGCAAAATGGTTGAGTGATTTGACTAAGGTTACAGTGAGTTAGAACTAGGGCTCTGGTTTCTTGATAGCCAATTCAGTACTCTTTCTTTCTCCTTGAAAGCAGACCCATTGCAAAAGACTATCAAGTAAGAAAGTAGCTCTGATAGAAGAGCAGAGGCAAACATGAAAACGGGGGAAAACACTGAAAGTAAAAAGGGTGATTTCACAGAAACCATGAATCCCCATTTTTAAAATAACTGTGCCTGATGGTATGAGAAAAGAAAAAAAGAACGGATGGCATGTGTTGACACTCTATAATCAATGAAATCAAGTTTCACAATTTACCAACAGAGGGCTCTAAAGCACCCAGCAAAGCATCTTATGAAAGTGGCAATCTTATGTTCCAGTAACATTACAGAAAGAAATACTTCTCAACACTAGGATTTTCTGACAACTTATTACCTGTTAATGTCACTCACTGGCCAAAAAGAGTACAATTCTAATGAGCCCACAAACTAGATTTGTATACAATTCTTGAAATACAACCATCTGCTACTTATTAGGTTACAGGGATCATACTTTACTTCACACAACCACCCCAAAGGCGGTACGTATACCAAATGTCAACATACTGCTCAGTTTATACAAGCACTCAAGGATTTTCCTTATAGCTACGTGTAACAGAAAACTGATGGATCTATAATGAAATTAAGAATCTCAATGTCTACTAACCTAAAATGACTTCTGGAGCTCTGTAGTGTCGTGTAGATACTAAAGTACTGTGATGTTCATCATCATATGTTGCACTTCCAAAGTCAACAACTTTAATATCGGTATTTTTCAGTGTGCGTTCATCACGTTTCTGAAAGAGACTACAAGTTAACCATACATGAAAGAAGCTGAGTTAAAGACATCACACCATAATTATTACAAGCCAACATACCATTTTAGAGTTGTACTTGACCACATAGTCAGACTTAACAAACAAAATATTTTCAGGTTTCAGATCTGTATGGGTCAACTTATTATGATGCAAAACTACAAGAAAACAGAAAGGTATTTGTTAGTTTTTATTCCTTAATTTTATCATCAAACTCCAGGAAATTAATATTAAACATACTTACAATTTATGGACTGACAGATCTGATATGCCATCTGCCTGATATGGTCAAGTTGAAAGGGCAAAAAACTATTTTCTTTAATAAAATCATAAGTACTGAGTCCCAACAGTTCAAACACAATGCAAACATGACCATGATGATCAAACCATTCCAGCATTTGGACGCATCGGCTGAAAATACATAGCAAAATGAAAAGAATTTTTAGATCACAGGACAGATATACTGCTGCTTCCTACATAAAGCATGACAATTCATAGTCCAAATTCATACTTACAATACACTATTGGGATCAGTACTGTTTAAGTGCTCCAATACTTGGATTTCTGAACGAGCAGCTTCACGGTATCTACCAACATTTTTTACAATTTTCACTGCAACATGTGTATCATCCCTTAAAAACAAAAATCAAGTATTCATTTATTTATCAAATTCTACTTAACAAAAATGTTATGACCACTATAAGATAACAACCCAAAGCTTTGCTTAAAACTATGTTATTTAATAACATACGATATAAGGGAAATTTATGTTGATATGTTTACTTAAAAAAAGAAAACCGGCAGATAAGTTCTTTTAACCCTGACATATATTTGCTAAAATAAGTTTTCATAGCATATTTTGCAGGATTACACACATTTCCCTCACTTAAAAGTACTTCTCCATTGAAATCTACTCCAATGCCTCATTGCGGCATGGAGGTCACTCATTGTATCAGTAGAATACAAGTTTTGGCAAGCCCTAAATTAAAGCGGAAAGACCTCCACCAAGAAACAAACCACCTAAATCTGTTGAAGCTCGTCACTAGGTTGGTTGTATGGTGACTACACTTTTGCAGGGAGAGAGTGGAAAAAGCATAAGGCATATAGACCACCAAACTAGGTGTTGCAATGTGCATTTAAGGAAGGAGCACCCCACACCAACAAAATTATAGGTACTTGAGGTCTGAAGTAAAATACTATATAAATTCACTCTCCAAAAGGCTTCTAGCTAGATGCCTTAAGTGAGTCATCTTGATATTTACTGCATTTCATATTTAGCAATTTTCAGAAGTAAATACTTTGATTTCCTACAATGACGACAAAAATTAAAAAAGAGACTAAAAATTCAGCTTGGGCACGGTGTTTGCTATCACTATGAGCAATCTACATAAATATCTCTCACTGCCTCCTTCCCCAAAACATATTTGGTCACTCAATACTTTTCACCTCCCTGCCAAATGGATCCAAAAATAGACAGTGGAGCAGCTCTACACCTCTCTCCCCTAGAATAAGGGTACTAAAGACAAGGAGACATTAATCCCTAACCTGTCACTGATTTGAACACCTCTTTAATTTCACAGAATCCCCTCTGATTCAGTATATATCTAGTCACAATCTGATCCATCCAACCAGGAAGACAATTACAAAAAAGCTTTCATTTGGTCTATTCTCCAGGAAACAAAAAGAGCAATGCCCCATTTATCACTCTCACAAGTAAATAATCGTTCCCATTCAAAATAACACAGCCCACAGTTTTCATATGAATGTTCAAAAACAAATGAAAAACTTACATGTCATGATCAATGCATTCTACTACTTTGCCAAAAGCTCCTTCACCCAAGGTAGCAACAATTTCATCTAAAGTAAAGAAAAAAAAGACTTTAAGTTCAGAGCAACTGATTATCAATTTATTCAAACAATAAAATGCTATCAATATAGATTATTTTCAAATGTCACTATTAATGTATAACTAAGGTCTCAGCACTCAAATAAGTTATTTTATTGTCAGCTGCTACAAAAACAATTAGATACAACTATCTTTCTTGCACTAAGCTCAAATTCCATCATCTATTTTGAAACTTTAGAATAGGAATATTTAAATTCTACAGAAAAGAAGAAATGCAAAACAAACAAACCCACAAAAAACAAAACAAAAAAGCAATGAAGAGTTTTTTTAGCCCCCCGCTGACATACTATTCTTAACAGATTATTCTGTCTGCAAAGTTAAAAAAGTGTTGAAAAATATTCTATACATCTTGCTCTTAGTACGTCTCCACTTTGACAGATCAGGTGACCCTCCTCATCATCCTCTATACTCCTGGATCTTTTCCTTCGGTGACTCTTCTGGAACGGCAAGTGGGCAGCACCAAGATCGTCCAGCCAATCAATATATCAGAGTGAATTCAGGGCAGAATACGCAATTCATTCAGCGGGGAGATATTCAGGCATTCAGATACGCACCAGGCCACGAACAGTTGGCAGGAGCAATTTCAAATTCAGTCCCCAGAAATTCACAGGGCACAGTTTATGTTACAGAAGAAAAACATGGCAAGGAACAGATTTTCAGATAAGATACTTAAAGTGGCAATAGAAAAAACAACACAATTGTTTCTTTAAACACTGATATAACTGAAGTCTGAAATTTAAAGAATGCAATGTCATGATATACTAATCTCTTGCTACCAGGTTTATTTAAAAACTTATGTGTTGAGAGTTGAGTTCTTTAGTTGTCAAAAAGTTTAAGAATGCCAAGATTATTTGAAGGTAGCTCTTATCAAGCAATATTTTAAAACATACATCAATAAAATGAAAGGGGAAAAATAAAAGCTATTTAATTGCAACGTTCAACCTAATAAATGCTGTGCTACTGAATACCACTTGGGGAAAAAAATAAATTTAAAATCGACACGTGAAATAGCTGAAGATGTTTAAAAGTAGGCAACACTTTCAGATCACAAATTACACATTCAGCACCCATGCTCAGAAACTCAATTAGGCCGGCTGCAGACAACACTGAAGCACTGTTCCGTGGAACTATGTATCTCCACATTAACAGGTTTTAGTTAACCACCAGTGCAGTTTTTCGTATTTCTTTCTGAAATTTCAGGAAAAGGATGCAAGTCTTTAACTTTTGAGTTCTATGAAGGTTTCGGATGTATAGGAAAGAAGGGTGCTTTACTTTATTATAATATAGTTTATGCTGATGATTACATGATAAACACAAAACCAAAATATCTTCTGGCATTAGTTGAAAATAAGTGGAAAATCAACTATATCAAACCTAAGACTTGGCCTGTTGAAAATGAACAAGTGTAGATAAATGAGTGTTAGTTAATAGGGATTACTTATGGAAATCAAAACAGAAAATTTCATTTAGGGATCCATATAATGTATAAATACAGCTGTAACATATTTTCAATTAAAATTACATATATAATGAAGCTTTCCCAAACTCTTGTGCTCATAAAGAGCTCTTACAAGAATCTAGCCAAAATAAAAAAAAATCAATCATACCGAATGTGATTGATGGCTTGAACAATGTCTATTACGTTTCCTTTTTGGACTACTTCTCCTGCTTCGGCCTGAAGATTTACTGCAGTGGTTGTGATAACTGCTTTCATAGTCTCTATGATAATGTCTATGATCATATCCTTCACAGTAGTCATTTCTGTATTCATCAACATATCTCCGCTCACGATAATCTCTCTCATTTAAGGATCTTACTTCCAAATAATGACTGAAAACACATTTAAAGTACATGCTAATCATTCTTTTGCTTTAGATACAGCAGTTCTAACATTAAGAAGTTATACCAAGACCTTCTGGTATCACAAAGCTATTTTGCCAAAGGAAGAACTAGCAAATTAATTTAAGTTTACATTTCTCCCAAAGGTAACTGCTAAAAGAAAAGAATTTTTCTTAATCACAGCCAGACTAGTAAAAGAAAAATGTGCTTGCATTTCACAAGTCCTTGTGGATCTTTTATTGTCTCACATTTCACAGGGAAGGAACAAATTTATTTTAAAATCTGAACAGCTATATTACATAATGTATTTCAGATCCCATGATAAAAGAAAAAAAATGGCTAAGGCAGACAAAAGAGTAAACTGTTCTATAGCTAGTAGTCCTTTTTAAACTGTGGAATTATTAATCATTCACTAAAGAGAAAGATTAGATTTTTTTTTCTATTAAGCACATAAACTAAGTTACTTAAACTGCACAAGGCATCATCATGAAAAGCAAGTACCACAAAAGAAATTTACCTTTAGTGCCACTGTGAAAAAATTACTGGGCTGGATGTAAAGAAGGCTATATGTGAAATACTTAATTTTCTAAAATGCATAACCAACATTATTCAATCTTTTCCCTTTTATACATACAAACATAAACACATTCAGTGGAGCATGCAGGAGAACTCTGCAATCAACAATAATTGAGAATCCCAACAGACTTTCTCACTATTCAATTTTTTACACTAGAGACTATTTTTCATTTCTTAGTCATTAGTCCGATGGAGGAATTTCAAAGCTGTATTAGCACTGGAATCCAACATAACTGTTGTTATGGTCACAAGTTAATGTGGTACAGGGAAAATAGGACTGGACATGAGTCCTAAGACCTGGGTTCAATTCCTAGATTACACACTTAATAGTGGCATGCAAGGCACTTCATCTTTGTGATCCATAATTTCCTCATCAGCAAAATGGGAATAACATTTAACACTACACAGTTCTGAGGAAAGCATTTTGTAAGCCTTTAAAGCCTACACAAATTTGAGCTATCATTACTATTTTAAAATTCTATCAAAAGGAAAAGCCTTATGAACCACATGTTACAATTTCTTGAAACAAGCCTAAGAACAGGCTCAATGTTCTACAAAACAAGTCTGCTTAAGAGAAAGGGGGGAAAAAATCATATGGTTCTACAGTAACCCCTATTGGCTAATTTAGAATACCTACAATTCCCCAAAGGTTCTCCCCATTCAAAGCAAAACAGAACAAAATAGACATGAGAAAAGGAAATCTCTGAAGACAGAGTTAAACATCGACTCTTGAAAAACTGATGTTTAATTCTTAGAGTCAATCCTCCTTAAAATGTTTATAGAAAACCTCATTTTGATTAACTCATTACCCAAACTCTACATACCAGTAAGGATGAAATAAAACAAGTTTCAATACTGCTGAAATTTTGTAAAAATCAAGATTTCTTTATATATATAGACTAGCCTAGTGCTTTCGTTTACATATGCATATGTGTAATGTATATTACATGTATATGTTTTACATGTAAATACACACACACATTTAATAAGAAATGCTCCCAGTGAAGAACTTCCTCTATCAACGCAGGTTAGCACCAGCTTTAAGAGTCAAAAGATTTGCCTGAAGGTTAAGTGACTTGCCCAGAGTCACAAAGCTAGTACAAATCAGAACAGGGCCTTAAACTCAGGTCTTCCTGATTTAGAGGTCAGCTCTAAACCCACTACAGGCCATGCCTGTTTATTTTTTTTCTTCCTAAATCACTGGCTTACATATTACTAGAGTGGTTTATTATACTTTCCATTCAACAAATATGTGGAAGGTACCATGTAATGCACTAGAGACCAAAACAAAACAATCCTTGCCCTCCAGCTTAGATTCTAGGAGGGTAGGAGATAAAACATATACAGAGATAGGTATGATAAAGGGTAATTTGAGGAAAGTGGCTGGAAAGATTGGGAAATCTTTCCCACAGCCTTCAGTGGGCAAGTTAAACCTTGAAAGAACATAAGGATCCTGATCTTTCAATAATTCTAAACATTATGAAATTTGTTCTCTCCATTCCATTCTACCCTTTCAAGGTCCAATTCAATTTGTATCTCCTTCCATAAAGCTTCTCCTTACTATTCCATCACCTTATTTTTTGTATTACTCATTTAGCACACATATGCTGCTTTACACTATTAGCTATCTTTTTGTGCATGCTTTATTTTATTTTATTTTGCTTCTTGGGATTACTCCACAGCACTTGGCACAGGTACCTTACACAGATCAATATATGCTCAATAAATATTTTTGACACTGAATTGAAAAGATAAAAGCTGAAAAACTACAATTTACATTAACAAGTGTCACAACTTTATTAATTCAAATAATTTACCAATCTGCTTCTTTAAACTGTAGATGTGGTTTACAATGCCTGTTCTCTTGTGTACTACTGTGGGATCTCTTCTTGCGTTTGTGACTGCTACTGTAGCTTTCGTGACCCCAGCTTTCTCTACCATCCCAATCAGGACAGTGAGTTCGTTTCGAATGCCGCATCTGTAAACAAAATACACAAAGGGGGAAAGGAGGGATGATAAAGGTTATATTTTAGGTTTAAACAATCACACTTAGTAAAAAGGAGAATGTATTATTATCACTTTATAACTATAAACACTTTTTGCTTTATTTACTTCCATGAATTATCAAAAGTTACAAGGAAAACAGTATCAAGCAAATGCTACCTCTGTCCTCCAGTAATTTACATAATGCTATTCAGCCTAAAGTAATTTAATTTTATTTTCAAGCACTACATTAAATAATTTAAAAAAGAAAAAAATGAGGAAGTTATTTTTATTCCTACATATCAGGGAGTTTAAAGCCCTCAATATCCTCTAAGGATATGCATTAGAGATAAAAATGACCAAAAGGTAAAAAGCTATTGAAGAAATCTCTCTGCAAAAAATTTTGCAAAATATAATTTGACACACAATCACCCTCATTTTATCTGTTTTTAAGCCACATTTGAGAGGTCTCATCCACATCTCCTTATCCACATCCAACCAAATTGAGAACACATCCAATCGCCTACCATCTCTATCAAAACGAAACATTCTACCATTCCACTGGGTGTCAAGTCTTGTTTCCACTTTCACACCTCTACAGGGTGTTTGCTATTTACTCAAAAGGCCACCATATCCTAGTTAGACCCTCATCAACTTCTCCCCCAGAACTATCACAATGGCCTATATAGTTTTCCTACCTTGAGTATTTCCCCTCTCCAATCTATTATTCTCAAAAAGATGCCAAACTGATATTCTTAAAGCACTGGACTGACCATATATTTATCTACTCAGGAAGTTACAATGGCTTTCTATTACCTCTAGGATCAAATGGTATTTCCTCTAGCATTTAAAGTTCTTCACAACCTTGCTCCAACATATCTTTCCAACTTTATATATTATTCCATTTCAAGAATTCTTCTGTAAAACTGGCCTTTCTTGCTATTATTACTCATATAACATTTTTCATCCCATCTCTGTGCCTTTGTGTAGATTGTCTCCCATGTTTGCAACGCACTTCCTTCCTCCTTGGCCACCTCTCAGAATCCTTTAAACCTCAGATCAAGTACTCATTCTATATGGGGCATTTTCTGATCCCCCAGCTTTCAGGGTCTGCCTATCTCATTACCTTGTGGTTACTCTGTATATATTGTGTGTGTACTTGTATAGTCCTAATTCCACAGAGTGGCAAGGACTCTCATTTTTGACTCTAAAGCCTAGCAAAGTGATGTCACCATGATGTGTAGTAAGCATTAAGTATAAACCCTTGCTGACTACCATATTTGTTTCATCCCTTTTCCTATCTTCCACTGAACTGAATTTCCCTCCAAGTTCAGTCCTTAGGTCCAAACCAACTCCTTCTCCTCTCCACTGCAATTAACCTAGGATAGTGAAATATAAATATCGTATTTTCCCTGTGGTTGAGCCAGTAGGCTCAGAAGCCAAAGGTCATTAGGTGGTCAATAAGAAGACGCACAAAGGGGGAAGGAAAACTTTCACTATTTACCAAATAGAGAAGGAAGCCAATTAGGAAGGTATTATGCAAACTAAATCAATTTAACTAGCCCAAGCCAAAGAGCAAATAGAAAAAGCATTCAATTAAGACAGTCCCAATTTTGACTTGGGATCTGATCCCTACTATAATACTCAGAACCTGGGGGACAAGAACAAATCTCTTCCTTTAGAGTCTTACTTTCCTCATATGTAATGAGGAAGCTGGACTAGATGATCCCTACAGGGACCTTCCAGATCTAAATTCCATGGGATTTAGAGCCATGGCTCTGCTGTCTCTCTTTTCCCATTATATTCCAAAAGTTTAAAAAAAAACTTATGAATTATAGTTCTACTTGTGATAATTTACGTGTATGAGTCAATTAGTGTTATATCATAAAGTAAGTGTATTTTGAGTTTTAAAAAAGCCAGCTATCATCAAAACAATCAACTTCTTTTCTCAAATAGTCTACAAATAGTTAACATTTATTTTAAACCATTTTTGCCAGAAATCCTTTGTAAAATAACTTGTACGTTTCCTTATCTTCTTAAATAGTGGGAATTTGTACTATTTTCTTGACAACTAAGGATTGTTTGTGCTGTTTCAATACACTGCAGGCCTACAGCTACTTTCTGATAAAACAAAAAAAGTATCTTCTTCTCAATGTTCACATCTTGCCTGTATCTAATAGCCTTCCCACCCCAACTCCCTTCCAGTCTGCTGTTTCTAATCTACTGTGGGGAAGACAGAAAACTAAATTCATAATACAATTGGTTTGGACTATAGTCTAAAGAGAGTCTGACTCTTTTATGAAAATGTATGGCTTTATTTATCTAACTTATTATAAAGCTCAGGCTTTATTTCAAATATTCAGGCCTTTTTCCTTTGAAGGACTGAGACCCTCAAGCCTTTGATCAGCACAGATTGGATATTAATCACAGAATGTAAGATACTCTCAAATTTTCAGTCATATCTAAACACCCATATGCATATAATTTAACAGATCTGACTGTAGCTCTCTTAGAAAGCTACATCTGATGGACTACAAAAAATTTATATGCAAGAGTTTATTTCTGCAGAGCAGCAAACTGTTAAACAATACTAGATGTCTGGTATTGCCTGCATCAGCTGACTTCTAAGATGATCATAATGATCTGTTAAATATATTTCTCCCATCACTAAGAAGTCATTGCTCCAACCCCTGAGAAAGTCTGGTTCACTGTCAATATCACATTCTACCTAACAATTAAAGAAGTCATCATACAAATAGCAGATCTTTGTTACTTCACCATCACCTCTGCAGAGGCAGCCTAAATTCTATTAAGTCGAAGAGACCTGAAGTGATTTTTAGATTATAGGTGAGACAGGTAAGGCTGAAAACAGGACATCAATTACAAACACCACTAAATCCCCCCCTTACAAAAAAAGCACAACACCTTCTACCTCACATACTTTCTGGAACACTGGAAATCTCTACAAAAGCAATAAGAAGAAAACCTCTGGTTCCAAGGAAAGCCTTAATTTAAAAAAAAAATGCTTAAGACGTAACAAACGTGGGGAAAAGGGTGACTTATCAGGATCAATAGCACCAGGCTTCCTTAATAACACGGCTCACTGGACAGCCTGCACAGAGCTGGAGCACGTCCACCCCAGGGGCACACACACACACCCGGGGTGGGGGAGGAGGAAGCTGGGGGTTACACAGCAATTTCAAGCTCGCAGGCTCGCTCCGGTCCACGGACCCCGGCAAGGGCATCTCCTCTCGCCCCGCCCCTGCCAGCGCAGGCCAAGTGCGGGAGCGCTACTTTTGATAGTCCCCCTCCCCACTCACCGCCCCCCGCACTCCGGCCCACGGGCTCCGACCCGACGCGGGCTACCTGGGCCTTGCAACCTGGCCGCGGCCGCGCGTGCCGCTGGCATATTTCTCGGAGCCCAAGGCCGCGGGTTCGAATCCTGACTTTGACACTTAGCACCTGTGTTCTCTAGGTTAAGTCGCATCCCTGCTGAGCCTCACGGTCCCCGTTTGTGCCATGCAGGGGCCCGAGGCTCGATGACCTCCAAGGTCCCATGCCTGCCCGGGGTCCCGTCCGCTCCGGGGTCTCGGCTGTCACCTACAGGCCTCGCGGCCGCCCCTGCACCCCACCCCCGCCCCGCGGCCCGGCGCAGCTCCGCAGGCCGCCGCCCGCAGCCCCTCGCTCCGGCCCCGGAGCCCTCCCGCAGCCCGGGCTGCCCCGGGGGCCCCGCGGTGAGGCCCGGAGCACCCGGCCGCCGCCCGCCGAGACGCCCCTCCCCTTCCCGGCAGCCCTCCCGGGGCGTTACCTCGGTGCAACCCAAGGGTCCTCCGGACGAGCGACACAGCGCAACCTACACCTCCCCTTCCCGAGCCGCAGCTGCGAGCGCTGGACAAAATGGCGGCCGCGTTGCCTCCCCGGGCCCTCCAGGAAGCCGCGGACGCCTCCGCCGCCGCCCACGCCGCGCGAACGCGCCTGCGTGACAGAGCCCTCCTGCCGGGAGACGCGACGGAGCCGGGGCGCGCGCCGCGGCGGGGGGCGCGCCTGGCAGGGGTTAGCGTAGGCGCGTCCCCGATCCAAGGCGCGAGGGGCGAGCCCGAAGCCCAGGCGGAGGCAGCGCCGCTCTCTGACTCCTCCTCGCGCTCTCTGATTTCATTCCTCTAGTAAACACCGGGGCAGGAAACCCTCGGGGCGGGGAAGATTACCCTGGTCACACCCAGGGGCGGGTCCGAGACCAGCCCGGGGTGGTTCAATGAATAGTCTCGTCCGATGTCTCTCAGAGAAGGCCCCTGTAAGGCATCAGGCTCCCTGGTGTGTGCTAGCAGGGCCTTCTGGGAGAGGCCCGGGAGCCTGGGGTGGGGGTGGGGGGGTGTGCAGGGACGCAGAGGATGCCTTGGCACAAAGTCGTGCCCTCCTCATCTCACCTCGGCCCCCTGGACTCCCAGACCCCTTCAAGGCCCAGCTCAAGTGCCACCTCATAGGGAAAGTCTCATCTCCCTCATCCCCTCAAAATTTGGCATTACTTTATTTTTCGTACATTTTAAAAAATTTACTCAACTATCTAAAGTTGCAAGGATAAAATAAATTTGAGCAGGAAGGTACCTTAGAAGGTATCTAGTACAAACCTCTCATTTTACTGATAAGGAAACTGAGGCTCAGAAAGGTTAAATGGCTTGCCCATGATTACACAAGCTGTTGAGTGTCAGAAGTGGGATTGGAACTCGTGTATGTGGTGCAATGAATAAAGTGAAGTACTGGATAACCTGAGTTCAAATCCTACCTCAGATACTTACTAGCTATGTAAGCCCAGGCAAGTCATTTTAAAAAAAAAACCTGTTTGCTTTAGTTTCCCCATTTGTAAAGTGGGAATAATATAGTACCTACCTCTCATGAGGATAAAATGAAATAGTATTTATGAAGCATTTTGCAAATCTTAAAGTGCTATATAAATCCTAGTTGTTATCATCATCATCATCATTGGTATTCCTTACTCCAGATAGAGCAAGCTTTCTGCTAAGCCTCAAAAGAATGTAAGCTTCTTGAGGGAAGGAATAGGATTTTTGGTTTTGGGGGGATTTGTCTTCATAGCCCCAAAGCTTAGCACAGTAACCAGCATGTTCTATGTGTTTAATAAATGTATGTTGAATTGCATCAAATAGTGGACAAATACCCATGACACTGAGTGTGGTGAGAACACTGGGATGGTCTTTCAGATTAGAGGCACTTCTGGAAGAAAGTGGCTGTTGGGTTCTCAGGATGGGTCAAATTTCTGGGGTCCAGTGATCCTATGATTTATCTTTACATCTCCTGGGAGTCTGCAAAAGCATTGATTGTCAGGGGGGCATCCCCTGTCACAACTGTGAAGATGCCAAAAAGAAAGGTCTGGCCACTGTCAAATAGATCAATGTCAGAAACTGATAAGGTTAAGGTTACAACTGTACTCTAAGGTCCATGGGCTTTCCCATCTGTCCTACAGCTGAACGTGAGTGAGCTCCTTGACAGCAGGGACTGTCCTGACGTTTCTATTTGTATGCCTTTAACACAGAGCTCTGTATAAGCATGTAATAAATGCTCTTTCATTGCTTATTTATTTTGTTATAAATTCCTTATTTGTATTTCATATTTACTTATCAAGTGCAGGGGTTTTGTCTTCACTCTACAGCCTCTGGCCCAGTGCCAGATATAGGATATGTCCTTAATAAATAGTTGTTGAATTGACCAGAAAGTTTTAAAAATCCGATTGCTATGTGAAAGGTTTGAGGAAACCTAAGGACATTATGTGCCAGAAGGATCAGAGTAGGCTTTTTGGAGGAGGTAACTTTGAGCTGAGTCTGAAAGGGTGGGCAGAAATTTAACAGGCAAAACAGAGATGGAGAGCGGTCTAGGTATGGGGAACAGCAGCAGCCTGGCCAAAGTGATGGAGCTATGAGAGTGAAGTACATGTCCAGGGGTTAGACAGCTGTCCAGTGTGTCAGAAGCATAAGGGGCATGGAAAGGAAGAATAGGAAAAGTAAGGTGGTGGCATGCCAATTACATGCGGCCTTGAATGCCAGATGGAGGAGTCTGAAACCTCTCCAGGCCTCAGTTTCTACATCTGTAAAATGATGGAAGTGGACTAGATAATCTCTAACATTTATGCAGTCTTAAAATCCAAAGAGGTACACCTTGAGTCACACAACTTTCAATGCCATGTGGGCAGCATTGCCCCTTTGGAAAGAAAGTAAAATTTTATTTTCCACTGAAGTCCAGATTCCTCCTCCCTTTATCCCCACCCCATCTCTGCACTAGGCACCCACTGACATCATGTTACTTTCTGACTATCCATAACTTCATACTATCCTTGACCTTTCCAAAGTGTCCCAACAAAACTTCTCTAGACACACCCCTCATCAAAACTGACATGCCTACAGTGTGACTGATTTCAAAAAAGGGAAAAAAAATCTAATTTAATAAAATAAAATGTTATTTTAAAATAACTTTTTAACTCTACTTTCTCATTGATACAAAGTATGAAGAAATATTTTTGAGCAAGAAATTCTGAAGATTATTCCCATCCATGTTCTCCTGTCACAAATACCATCATAACAAGAGTCAGCAAAGCACTAGATTTCTGAAAGATTGGCAGTCCTTGCTGTTGACCATCAAGACCACCTTTAAATTAAAGGAGTCTGAGTGGAATCAAATGATGAAAATGGTGTTTTAGGAAAAATTATTCCTGTGCAGGTATGATGAAATGACCCTCATACTTTTGGTGAGAGTTTTATGCACAGTGTTAGTTATTGCATGTGTCCTGTATATGTGTTGTGAAATCATAATGGGCTTGGAGAGAACACTTCTTGGGAGGGGGGAAGGGAAGACAAGAGACATGAGCCGTGACTCCATAGAGTGCCTCAAGGATCTTCCCACAGCCTTGTGATATTCAACAATTTTTGTCAGGGGTATGCATGATGGCATAGGTATGCTTTTCATATTTGCAGATGAAATCAGGTTAGTAGGGAAAGCCAACATTTTGGATGGCTGATAAGGATCCAAAAAGATCTGGGCAGGCTGGACCAATGGGCTGAGCTGATAAAGATGAAAATGATTAATAGAGAGAAATACAAAGTCCAAAAAATCAATTGTATCAGTATAGCACAGGAAAAACAAAGCTAGATAATAAATTCATGTGAAAAATATCTGGAGACTTTTGCAGACAGTACTCTTGATGTATATCAACACTGGGCCATGGCAGTCAAAAAAGCTAGAGTGACCTTAGACTTCATCAATAAAAATCTAGTGTCTAAAATGAAGAAGGTGATAGTATTGAGTTGAATATAGTAGTTAAATCTGAGTAAAAAGGACACTGAAAAACTGTAACAAGTTCAAAGGAGAATGGCCAAAAAATGAAGAATAGAGTGCAGACCATGCCAATGGAAGATTGGTTGGATAAATAGGGGATGTTAGCCTGGAAAAGAGAAGATTTATGGAGAATATAATGGTGTATATATGTTTTTGAATATTTTGAAGGATGTTATGTGGAATAGAGATGACATTTGTTCTTCTTAGCCACAGGGGGCAATATGAAAAAATAAGGGATAGAAATGTCATGGAGGCAGATTGCAGCCCAATAGAAATTTCCTAACACTTTTGAACTGTTCCAAGTAGAATGGACTATCTTAGATAGTAGAGAGTTTCTCAGGACTAAAGGTCTTCTAATGGAAGCTGGAATATTATAAGGGGAATTCCTGTTTGGGCTTAAGTTGTATTTATGGATCTTTTAGGCCTGTCCTGGCTGGCCTCATTAGTCAGTACCTTATTTCTACTGCAGTGACATCTTTCAAAGTCTGAGATGATGATGTCACAGCAGTATTTGTACCTGTAGAAAGGGAAGCCAGGATCACTCTTAGTTATCATATTCTCCAATTATTGTACCTGCGAATCCAACCTTCACTTAAAAAGACTCTTCCTAAGCAGAAGAAATATTTGCCTTTAGTGTGACTTATGGCTTCCCTTTTCACTTATAGGTTGAGTTAATAGTTTTGTTTGGAATATGGTAGCTTGTAACTTCATAATTTACATACTTAAAGTTTGACAGTTTTTTCTTTCCTTGTAACTTATATGAAAGGCTTCTACCTCCAACCCCAATATAAATATGATTTCTTTCAATGTCATTCTCAGAGTAATTACTAATACCTGAACTGGGGAGTTTGCCTATCTTGAGATAACAGCTGCTACCCAAGCACTGGTTATATGTTTTCCTTAGCCTAATTTTGAAAACATAATCATCACAGACTCCCCCTCAGATAATAACCACTGAGGATCTTGAATGTGTGCCAAAGCTAAATTTGCCCAAAAGACCAGTCA